GCCCTTCTCCTGTATATTAAATTATAGCTTTTCCCGCGGTCTGGAGAGCAAAAACTTTTAAAGGTCAACCTTGGTCAGTCCCCGTAATTCGGCAGTCTTTCTCGGTTTTAAGGCTAACACCGGATCTGAGTGTAACACACCTAAAATCACCCAACGTAGGTTAAATTACGGTAAAAGCCGTGGCCTTTCCTCAATCAATAAATAGGCTTTAAACACCCGAATGGAAGAAAAACCCCCCCACCTCCTGTGAAAATTTTTCAAGAAACCCGTTCCCCCCCGGGGGTAATGTTGCCTTTTGTGCCCCGCCGATGTGCAGGTTGAAGAGCTTCCCCTCCCCCCCGGGTGGCACGTCTTCCCGATAATGGTGATGATCCAGTCCCCTTGGGGGGCGTAATCCTGGGCGCCGGGTTGAGAGAAGACCTGGAGCTCATCGTTGTCAGAAATACGTTCCCCCAGAGACCTTCCGTGGGAGCCACAGTGATGCCTTCTCTGCAGAACGATCTCGGCTGAGGGAGGACAAATAAAATTTTTTTTTGTGAATGTTACATTTTTGGCTCTTTTTGCTTTGGATTATTTCTAAATGACAAACAAATGTCAATCTCAGATGAGGGAAAAAAATAAAAAAATTACCCCCATGAAAAATACATGGCAAAATAAAGGCAGCTCTGTGCGCAAAACAAAAATGTCAATATGATGGTTATGTTGAAGAAGTGATGATTTCCCCCCTTCAACCCGATAACCATATAGTTTCTGGTGGTGGTGGGGGGGATTTGGAGGAACTTGTCTCTGTTTTCTTTTTTTTTTTTGGGGGGGGGGGGGGGGGGGGGGCTTGGATAGCAACTTGCATTAAGGGAGGGGGTGGGGAAAAGACTGAAAAGGAAAGGGTGGGGGGTGGGCTGAACTGAGGTCCACAAAATAGTTCAGTCTTGGTGCAGCATCTAATAGCGTAAGTCCTGCTTGATTGGCCCCCATTGCCCGTTATCTATGTGAGTTGCCGATTTCCAGACAGTAGAAACTGACAGCAACATTCAAATATTATGAATACAATCACATTTATTTATAAATCGTACTCTGATCCTGCCCATTGCAGTCCACGCCATATTATTTCCCACTCCATTCGTCCACTGTTATTCCAAATTAAAGCTGAATTCAACTCTCCTTCGTCCTTTTCACATTATATTTCTTCATACATCTAAAAAAGTAACTATTACATTAGGCAGTATAAAATAGTCGCTGTCGCAAGCATTCCATTTAAATCTAATTCAAAATTTTTAACATTTTCGAATTTCACACCCTCTCAAAGCTCTAAATCAAAGATGCGCCTTTCAACATTATAAATAATCAAAATGCAGTTGAATGCACTATGGTCAAGGGTTACAATTTTCTTGCTTTTCATGGTTTCTGACAGGAAGAACGAGGGGAGTTCCGCAGAGGTCCAGCTCTTACCGTGAAAAGTCACTTTAAGTCACTTTAGACTTTAAATAGACAGTGTCTTTACTTTCATGATCTGATCATCTGTCGTCATTCCCAATGTTGAATTTTGAATGCGATCCAGTGTTGCGTGAGGAAATATGGGAGTATGAAAGAAAAGACCAATACCAAATTTCGCCTATCCCCCCCCCCCCCCCCCAACACACACACACTAGTGCTGGGCGGCTAGGTTCCCGATTATTGAAAGCTAGTAATCGTAGGAATCGACTCCGAACCCAATTACTTACTTTCTAAAGATGCGACTTCTTCCGATGGGTATCTGGTTGGGCCCTAACACCTTCAGGATTTAGGATAACCTTGATTTCAAAACACTACGAAGAATCAACTTTTATTTTTCAAAAACAAATTCTAAAAAAAAAAGATTTTAATGATCAAAGTTACTGGAAACAGTTGGATTACATAAAAAGGAGTCGGAACTTTTCTTTCGTAACATTCATCGTGGGAATCGGTTCCGGAATCGCTTCTCCGCCCAGCTCTACCACACACACACACACACTTTCTGCGCTTTTTCGGTAGTTCCCACCCCGCATTTTGTTATTCGCCGGTGTTGGCCCCAAGAGTAGGGGGGTTTCAGGGGGGCTTGCCCCCCTGAATTTTACCACAATTTAATGTTTTGCAGTTGTTAGGTTTGACATCTTAGCTTGCCGCGAATCAAACGTATATAGATCTAAATG